CACACACACACACACACACACACACACACACACACACACACACACACACACGCACGTTTCAACAAGAGAAAGAAAGGAAATAATTTTGTAAAAGCCGTGCTGTGGACCCAGCCCAAATGGCTAGAGGGAACAGCAGCCATCGCTCTGTGGGAGCCCGGCCTCCACGGGAGCATCCCGAGAAAGGAGGTAGCGCAGCTCTCCACCACAGAAGGGCTGGAAGAGCAGCAAGCAAAATAGTCTGCTGGCGAGGAGGAGTTTTCATTAAAAACACAATTGTTGTGGCAGAAATGGAGGGTAATTACCACCGCATTCACCAGATCCCAGCCCAGGGGCTCGGAGGGGGGCAGGCGGCAGCCATTTGGGAAAGGGATGTCATTCAGAAGTGAGAATCAGCGCCAGCACTCCAACAGGTAGGGACCTCCCTCGGCGGACCTCCCTGGGAAGGGTGTTGAATTATTTGCAGCCATGTTTGAAAAACAAGCCAGATATATCTCAGGCTGGGGAGATAGACTAGAAACGAGGGGAAATTGATTTTTTCCATATTCACTGCCAGATATTGCTGCCCTGCACAGCTATATGCAGATAGAGGACTCCGGGCCGCTTATCACGCCAGTGATAGATCCCACACTGTCTCTGAGAGAATCAATCATTAATTTAAATCACTTACAGCAGGGCAGTTAGCTTTTAAACCCATTGTCTCCTGTGTGGGAAGAAATTGAGTAGCTTGTGGGTGCACGAGCTTAGGAATTAAAGTGATTTTTTTTAAAAGAATGGGTCATTGCTGACAGGTCATCTAAAGCCCGATTTTTACTCCATCATTTAAAAGAAAGATTTTATTTCAAAAATTAATATTACGGAAGTAATGCAGGCTGGTGGAAAATCCCAGTGCTACTAGAAACGTGGGAGTTGAACTGTGTTCAAACTCTGGCTACGTGCTGCAAGATCGAGGCCCTGCCTGTGGGACTACAACTTTCTTCCCTGACTTTCTCGTACAGAAGCACCGGTGGGCACAACCTGGCTTGGCTGAGGGTTTTCCTCTCCGAGCCCTGCCCGAAGCCATGCTCCACCCAGCGACTCACTGATCCATCTGAATAGGAAGTTCTCTGTTCTGATCGGCTGTGTGTACCTGGTTCTGTGAGGTCTATGAAGAACAACACCCCGGGGGTGAGAACTCAGGGAAGAGGCGAGACCCGAGTTTTATGTGAGCCTGCCCACACTGAGGCTACCATCGAGGCAGCAGGTGAGTTCCACAAGGCCGCGGAAGAGACGTGTATGCCAAGGATATCTAGGGTACAGCATGAACTGAAGCGCCCCCGTGGGTCCTACAGGCTGAGGAAGCTCCAGGGCAGAAGGCTCAGGCTGGTCTAAAGCAGTGAGAGTGGCCATTTACTTCTGGCTGAAATGAACATTGTAGACCGTGGAGGGCCTCCGCCGCACGCATCTGGGTTTCTGGGGAACCCCAGTTTCAATCACTTTTCCATAGTCATACTTTCCATAGCTTGGGGGGTCAAAGTCCCCACAGCACTGTGGAGATGCAGTCAGAGTGGGAAAGTGAGGCTTTTAGGTACGGAATGTTCTAGATGTTGCAGTGAGGGAAGTGGAATTCCCATCCGTGATGGAAAATCATTAGTGTCGTGTGTGTGTGTGTGTGTGTGTGTGTGTGTGTGTGTGTGTGTGTGTAGTTACATATGCCTGTGTGTGCATGTGTGAGTGTATGCCAGAAAAGGACCTCAGGTGTTGTCCCCAGGTACCACCCACCTTGGTCTTTTATTTTTGTTTATTTTTTTGAGGCAGGGTCTCTCACTGGAACTCACCACGCAGACAAGGCTGCATGGCCATTGAGCCCCAGGGATGGGCCTGTCTTGTGTCGCCAGCTCTGGCATTATAAACACCATCATGCCTGGCTGTTCTTACTTACACAGGTTCTGGGGATAAAACTCAGGTCCTTGTACTTTCGAGGCATGGCTCTTTAACCACTTGAACTGAGCTATGTACTCATCCGCATCACGATCCTCTCATAGAAAAACGGCCTGAGTGTCTGCTGACTGCTGACACACCTCGGGTGCTGGAAGGTCGGCATGAGTTTGCAGGGCAGTGTGCCTTCTGAAGGCTCCCAGGCAGCCCCCTGCGTCCCGGACCCCGGGCTCCTTATTCCATCCTTAGAGACAGTGTAGAGCATCTCATTCTAGGCCTCAACTTCTTCCAGAGTCTGCCTCCTCCCCAGAATCTTTGTGGTTGTGCCAGCATCACCCTGAAACCCATGTGCAAGCTCTTTCATGTCCTGCCAGACACACGCACAGGCTCCGGGCAGCAAGGTGCGGACATTTGGGGGAGCCAATAATCTTTCACAAGAATGATGTAATAAACAAGAGTCACAGCAATAACCCAAGGAAGCAGCTTTCTGACCCTTATTTGAGACCTGGTGCTTACAAAAACCTAGTTTAACCACAGCTCCATAGGCCATGTGGCTCCATTTCACAGAAGAGTGGAATGGGATTCCGAGGGGCTCTACTCACGGTGTCCCATGGGGAGGACCTAACCTGCGGCACAGTGCCCGACGCCCTGCGGCACAGTGCCCGACGCCAAGCTGTTCCACAAGAGCAGCAGGGCAGAACACCAGTTGAGTGTCCCTTCCTGTGTGACGGTGCCTCGGGTCCTGGGCACTTGTGACAAGACACAGTGGCCTCGAGTCCGACTTCGTGGAAGTGCACTCCCGCCATCGCTCCGATGCCTGTCACCTGTCACACTGTCTCCAGGTTCACCCAGCACAGGCTGGGAGGTACAGCACGTGCGGTAACAGACCTGCAGCCTGAGTCTCGGGGCCCAGCTGGGACAGCCTGTCCCTCTGTTTGGAAAGGTTAGGGAAGATTTCCCAGAGGGCGAGACATTTGAGCGGAGACTTGAAGGTGAAGAATGAGGAGGATTTCAGCAGGCAGGGCTGGTGTGGAGCACAAATCAGGCAGAGGAAATTTCCAGCCCAAGATAAAGAAAATGTGCAAGGCGGGGAAGAGGGCGGGGGGCAGAGGAAAAAAGACCATGACGTAGAACGAGAAAGTCATAGAGACCCAGAAACAGGGGAAAAGTCCAGAGAGGCAGGTGCGGAGCAGAGCCAGACGGAAGGGTGGGAAAGAGCGAGACAGGACGAGGATGTTTGGGGACACCCTGGGAAAAGCAGAGTGGAAGGCCAGTGCTTCGGGATGAGCGGGAAGAGTGGGAAGAGGGCGGAGATCCGGAAATGGTAGCGTGCAGCAGGCAGGCCCATAGGCCGCGAGGCCCCATGACCCCATCCATCCTGCCGTAACTGCCACAGCTCGCTTAGGGATGTACACTCCAGGAAGCCCCTCAACTTCCCGGGGCTCACTTTCCCCATCCAGCATAGGGTTAGGTCAGATTACCTGTTGGTCTCTCCGAATTCCATTTAAGCCCGGAACTTCCCAAGTGTGACTGGGAGAGTGGGCAGCCCGTCCTCAGGATGAAAGCTGGCACTCCACTCCAAACCCATCTAGTGTCTGCTAATGGAGTGGTAATGGGAACCAGGAAATGCCAGGGTCCCGGGACCCCTCGGGGTTCAGGGCTGGAGGCTAAGGTGGGAGCGGGCAGGAGGGGCATGTCCGGGTAGGACGGGGCAGTGAGGGGAGGCAGATCCCCTGGGTGGCCTCTTCTCCATAACCCAATAGGATGTCCACATGGTCGACGTTGTTACAAGCGTGAAGAACCGGAAGCCTCCTGAGCGCCTGTGCTCGGAGGAGTAAATCAGGTGCGTCTGCAGCAGCTACATGTTGGAGCCATTACAAAACACATTTATGAAATGTTAACGGCCTGGAAAATGCTGATACCAAAACGTTAGGGACAAAACTACTTTCTACTCTCTGGGTTTTGAACCATGAATATGAGTTAGCCATTCAAAATTAAATGTAAAAGGTAATAAATAGGTGAGGGTGTTCCATAATAATCATGTGTGTGTGTCTTCGTGAACAAATGAACATCTGGAGGGGAACGACAAACAATGACCAAAATGCTGTGCGTGTTATTTCTGAAAGGAAAAGTTCGGATGGTTGTTAGCTTTTCATACTTTTCTATATTTCCAATTTCTATAAACATGGATTTTTATTCTGAAAGTAGCGATGTATTTGCATTTTGCATATATACCATGTATGTTGTATATTATTATCTGTTTGTATATGACAAATCTGTGTCTATATACACATTAAGAAATGGCTATTTTAGCTGGGTGGTCGTGGCGCAAGCCTTTAATCCCAGCACTTGAGAGACAGAGCCAGGTGGATCTCTGTGAGTTGGAGGCCAGCCTGGTCTACAGAGTGAGATCCAGGACAGGCACCAAAACTACACAGAGAAACCCTGTCTTCAAAAAAGAGAGAGGGGGGAGAGAGAGAGA